TTATTTTAATTTTCTTTTAAAATTTTGATCGATAAAGCAGATTAAGTTAATGTACTTAAATGTCCGAGTAGGGTTTATGAAGTTTTTTCTGCATTTGATTTGCAGTCGTTTATTTAGTATGTTGCTTAATGTTTAAGCAGCTGCTCTGCCATCCCTCTCCCGTTCCTTCAAATGTTTTACTTAGCATGGAGGAGTTAATTGAAGGTGTAGTTTTATAAAAACTGGTTGTTTAGAGTAGCAATTACGTCAATGAGAAAAAGTTTTGTATTGTAAATTTTAAATAGCAAATTAAAATCACTATGTTACGGTATTATTTGTTTACATTGACTTTTAGCTGTAGGTCGACTTTATATATGCTAGTCAAGTTGTTTTATTGGATGATCCACTTCCGTTGTTATCGATCTCGATATGGGTCTGGTGCATGACATGTCCTAGAACTAAAACAGAATTGAATCTATGTTTATGTTATCTTTATGGGAGAGGTGTGTCGTCGGGTCATCAAACGACTTCGCGTGTTGTTTCCTTCTTGTACATCACAGTAGTCTAGTGGTAGGACGCGGGGCTCGTGACCGAAGGGTTGCGGGTTCGAGTCGCGGCATGGCACTGCATGTGTTGTATCTTTGAGCAATATACTTTACTCCGCTTGTTCCAGCATACTTAGCTGTTAATGAGTACGTGGTTGGGCAGTGCTAGAATTGTAGAATGCTAGCTGTGAGCGCCGAAATGGCAGCACCGGCTGTATGCTCCCTAGGGTTTTGAAAAAGATATTGGCTGGTTGCAAAGGCCCTATAACCACGGATAATAATTTGTGAACCGCTTTGAGACGACCTACGAACTAGGTTGAAATAAAGCGGTATATAAGAACCTCGAATTATTATTATTATTATTATATTATTGTGTTCTATTTCGTTGTAAAAGACAATGTAAAGAGGAGTATACAGACGATAACTATGGATGTTTTGCTGCGAATAAACGAAATGGCACCAATCAGCACCTGTATATTTGGGATACGTTACATACTTTTGTCCAGGGAAAGGAAGCCACAGGTTATGTGTAATCTTTAGTGTGAGCTACCACATGGCATGTATTCTATTTCTAGGTTAATCGTGCCGTTACTTTGTGAGTTGTCCCAGTTCTGTACCATAGCCGACACCAGAACTGCCGGTGTATTGTTGTCATGCTTAGAGTAGGTGTGTTGCTTGATGGTTTAATTGGAAATTAACCAGTTCTATTTCAATTTTTGAAATTAATATAACTAAGGGGTTTTACGCACCTACCCCCGCCCCCTTTAGTTTCGACAAATTTGGATTTCAAAAATTTTGGTCCTAGCATCTCCGATGATTCCGAACAGGACGAAACAGCTGTTTGATGCAGTGTAATTAATCATTGGCATACTGTATCTATTACCAAATAGGTGCAGTCACATGTGCGTGTCTTACGTTCATCGTACAGGAGGTTTGACTGTCATTGTATCTGCTGCCATTTTGATTTTGTGAATCACGCACTTTCCACATTAGTAATGTTTAAAGCTGGTTAAATGTTGAAAGAGGCACGACAGTCTAGTGGTCGGACGCCGGGCTCGTGACTGAAAGGTTGCGGGTTCGAGTCACGTCGCGGCACTGTGTTGTAAATTTGAACAAGATACTTTACTCCGCTTGTTCCAGTCTACCTATCTGATGAGTATGTGGTTGAGCATATCTATAATTGTTAAATGCTAGATGTTAGCGCCGAAATGGCAGATATTAGCTGGTTGCAAAGGATCTATAACCACGGATAATAATTTGTGAACCGCTTTGAGACAACCAATGAACTAGGTTGTGTTAAAGCGGTATAAAAACCTCGAATTATTATATTATTTATTATAATTTTATTTACCAACTATATATTGGCGAGAGAAACAAAGGTGTTATGTTCCATGTAGGTTTATCTGTTGTTGAACTTACAATGTTTATCCTTGATATACTTCATTTTCCGAAGATCTTCCCTAAAACATACCAAACCTAGTTATCTCGTAAAATTGAGTTTTTTGAAGTAAAACCAATTTTCATGATGTAATACTTACCATAACTTTAGTATGCATAAACAATACCTACACCCATCTTTGAAGCCCAAAAACAAAAGATTCAAATGTCCCGACCTCCCTACCGTCACGTAATCCATATCTCGACGACAGGGCCAACAAGAGTGATTAATATAAGTTGAAATAACTTGTTTCATAATTGTTATTAAATAAATAAAGTTTAAAGTTTATATCTTGTCTGATATGCTGCCTTAAATGGGTTATCTATGAATATAGCTTTTGTTATGAATCGTCCTTCTTTAACCACATGTCTTTTAATGTCTACCATCATTTGTGGAAATGAATGCTAGTAATGTCAAAGTTGACAGAAACTCCAATGTCTGTTCTTTGAATAGAAAAAATGTCATCTCAAGGGGTAATTGAGTTATATATATAATATTATCCACATGTATGTCATACCTATGGTGAACATTTGATTTTTCTTTTATGAAATCAAGTTTACCCGTGTTCAATACGATATACTATAATAGGTTTATGCAACAGCAAGAACGGTTAGATTTTGTTCTTGGCATGCTGTTTGTGTCTTTGCAAAGATATTGCAAAACGTGTGACTTGGTGATCACATCAACTCTTAAAGAATGTTTATTGAAGTGCTAGTGAAATTGCGGCTTATGTCTAGTTGATCCCTATGATGCTTGTATGCCTACAAAAGGCCGAGGTAAATGAACTGTGGTAGCGGTCACCAACCAAACACAATCTTGCTCGTTACATTTCACACCATTTACGAATTGCAGCACATAGTTTATAATGATGAATGCTGCAAAATCTGCTCAATACACATGTTTATGAGTATTGCCTAGCCATTATAAATCAACATCAATATCAAAAATAGTTTCAAAAGAAATGCATTAGCATGAGCCAATATAGATACATCACAATTTTAGAGACAGACTTTAGAATTTGTTTTATAAAGTGCAGCCAGGTTTTGCATTAACCATGACCTTTTCAGACAGTGGCATTTCATTGCAGTTTCTCTGCGATATCTGAGGGCCTTAGTGTACTGAACATCGATGTCATATATGTTGGAGATTCCTCAAAATGAATAAACAAAGGAAATATGAGTAGTCGCTTTGATATAGTTATTGGTGCGAATTTATGCATGACGTTTTATTCAATGACGCTGGTGTTTTTTTGTTTTATTTAATTAGTTTATATTAGCTATTACATTGGTAGTATCTTAGGCAACCTCTGTAACTACAGCTGTCATTCTCGTTTCAGAGGAGAAACTGACCACGAGTGTGAAATGGTTGGGACGTACAATAACGTAAGGTCTCTCAGTACAATTGCAATTGCTGTTCGTGTCCTACATTAAGCGTTGTTATCACACACAAAAAAGTAAAGCAATTTAGCAAAAGAAAAACACCTGAACTCTTGCAGATGACCAGTATTATAAATGAATACTTACAATAGGAATGGTACTTAATCAATTTCAAATAGAAAGAACAATATCCTCTAAAATGCTTTTGTGTATTTTGGACAAAACAATCATCAAGGAGACGCGATGACTTTTAATATCATTATATATATGAGGCCTTCTGGCTATTATTCGCGCTATGAAAATAGTCCTGTGCAATAGCAAAACAAAAGAAAACGACAATGCAGTAGTAATTTGAATAGTAGCCATTGAAGTCATGACGACGTTGTGAGTGGTAAAACCGGCGATTGAACACCTACTCTTTTTAACCTAAAGCAAGGTTCAAAAGAGTAGGCGTCAATGACGTCAATGGCTACCATTCATATTACTAATGCATTGTCGTTTTCCTTTCTTTTGCTATTGCATTTCACTAGGATTCCAACTCTAACGAAATTCATTAAATTACATATGTATGAACGGGTGTACCGATGAATGTGATAAATCATGCAAATATGTTAGTCAAGAAAATATTAAGGAAATGATTTGGACTGAAAATACTGTACCTAAACTCTGCAGACACATCTGGAATCATATTTTAGCCGGGTTTTCTTAAGCATAATCGATTGTATTTCATCTCTTAACATGCTACGCGTGATGTAATCGTAAACTTCTTCTTTGAAAAATAATAAGCCATTATTTATGTAAAATTGGTCAAATTAATCGAAGTATGTTGTCGTATTTATTGCACATTGCGTAAATTTTAAATAAGCATAAATCGAAGATATGGAGGCTAGTACGTGACACGGGGGTTATTTTTACCCTATGGACTTGCATGATTAATTGTTCTAATGCAATTGCAAAGACTAGTTATTCCTTATTTAATGGTTTTATTGTATTCCGATTGAAATGTTTGTATTGACACTTTAAGCTAAGTTCAGAATTTAACGTTAATTTTGTCTGAGTTATGTAAAGTGTACTGTTCAGAGGCCCCGGCTATGTATGATTACCTTTACAAAAGACCGGGCCATCTATGTTTTCTTGAGGACTTGGGTGTGTAGGAGTTACAATGTATCTTACATGTTCACGGCTCTACAAAACTCTTCAGTTTCTTTTGAGCAGTACGGTTCATATTTAAGAACACTCCTATAACTTTTTGAATTCTTATGATAATTAACTGCTTTGCACACCTTCCCTTCCGTTTCACCAGGAGTTTACACAGATTCGAATTTGGACCTTTTTGGCCCGTAGTGCCTACGATGAGTTCAAGAAAGAGAAAAGAGCTTTATGGTGTAGTGCAATTAACGTTTGTCATTCTGTTTCTATTTCCGAACTGTATGTGTGTCTTACGTAAATGTTTCTGTATAGCTGGTTACCATATAAACGATAGTTGTTTTATTAGCTTAACAGAGGTCTAATCCCACGATCGAACAATCCAGGCACCATTGTGTTAACTGCAAAATAACGTTGCTAATGAGTCGTCAAATGAATTCTTATTACTGATCTACAACCAACCGTGACTTCTGACCTTGTCGTTTTTGTTATAGATAAGATTACGTCGTGTTACCTATAAAGGCTGCCTTTTGCAGAGGTATCAGTGTTGTCTGTTTACACGTCATTGCTGCACATTGATATGAGGTTCCTCATCATCACCGCCTGCCTGGCAGCTTTTGTCGGTAACTATTGGAGATCTGCTTTTCCTTATTAATGCTTTACCTTTGATAGTGTTTTTATTATGACTGATAATGTGTACGTAGAATGAGTGCAAAGGAATGTCAACAAAAACACACCTTCAAACTCTATGGTGAACGGACCACGGCAGTAATTATAGATTATAAAAATTGTCTTTTTCAATAAAACTGGGGCGTTTTAAGATGATTAATACTTCGAAAATAACTGAAGATTGGCTGTAGTGCTGAAGGTTTAGAAGTATGTAATGGACACAATTTAATACATTAATTTGGATATGTCTCATGATGGAAGCAGATCATATCAGTGAAAGAATTGTCATCGAATTTTTGTAATTTGTTCGATTTTAGACGAAAAGCTTGATTTTGGGTTTGATGTGAAGTACGATGCGCTGAATCATCGTATTAAGTGTTTAATAGGGAAGTTATACCTGTCTTAGCTAACGTGAAGAGAATATGAAGTTGTACATGCAGATCCTGGGAATAGGTCGGAAAAGTGACGTTCCATCATAGCATGTATCTATTACATATATGCCTTTGGCTGTCTTTAGCCGAGGGGACTATTGGTTTTATATAAAAGCTATATTTTAAATTAAAGTATATCAGTTCTATCTTCTTGTAATATTATGTATATGTACATGTAACTGTTCTGTTTCACTGTGTCTTGATAAAGGAGCGGATCGCTCCGAAAATTTGACAACCTAAACTTGTTCACACTGTTGAAATTACTTCTTTGCCCCCATATTACATATATGTATATACTGTTAACATGTTTACCTAGACTAGTGAACAAAAGTGTGTGCCTGTGCTGCTTCCTAAAAAGTTGAAAAAATCAACTCCAAAAGGAATAAATGAGAAATTGGGCCGTGGGAAAATATAAGAGGCCAATATTCCGACTTCTGTATTTTGTTACATGGTGTTGTTGTATTTTTGTATACTTCATTTGCTCTGCATTCGGTAAGTGTAATGAATAAAGTATACACCACCTTTTGAGTATATTGTGATAAATATATCCACTATTATAACGTAAACATCTGACTGAAATAAAATGTGATTTGAATGGCTTTAATGACATTTGGAACATGAAATGAAAACACAAAACTATTCTATTAAAGAGTAAAAGTAAGTAAAATATGCTAAAACATGCATTGTTATTGGTTACTGATAAGTATAAATCTCTACCAAACAAGACCATCTTAGTCAGTTAGATGGTGAAGTCATGGGACTACAACACCACTCTACAAAACGTCCATTACTTAGATATACACACATGCCTTCCATATATGGAAAACAAATTAAGATATCGTTCATAGCAGATGACAATTAGAGGTATTATTTAAATAAACCAGTTAATACATCCGAATCAATTGTTGTTGACAAGATTATTCCGTTAATAGGGTTGCATATAAAAAGGAAACACAAAACAATGTATATAATTGTAACATAACTCATTGATTTGTTACTAAAACATCATTTTTAATTATTTAGTTATACAAATTGTATTGTATTTTAAAGCGTCATGTTTGCAGGAAATTTAGTAACTTACTTGCTTATCTCTTAAAATGTGTTATTTCTTATTTGGTTTGAAGGGATGGTCATATATATATATATTTGAATGAAAATGGAATGGAGAGCATTTTCTTAGGGTATGTTTATTCCGTTTGAAAGGAATGTACAATGTAGACGTCACGTATCAGCACATGAGCCGAAACTGTACTTAACATTTGAACTCTAACGTTTGTTTTTATGCACTCCCTAATGAAGATTTTAAAAAAAAAAATAGTTTCCAAACCGGGGTTACTAAGTGCATCTATATTGCTTTGAGTTAAATAACATGGGTTGATCCGTATGGGATATGTGATTTTTGCATTTTCAAAGGTTGAATAAATACTTATACATTTTGTACTCGACAGCATACGTGATAACGGAGACATGCCATAAAGACGATGACGTTGACGTGGTGTGCGATTTGATAAGCTGCAACGGCAACAACACAGTAAAAAGTTGTGAGCATAGTGAATGCACGTGCATTATCAACACCGATATATGTAAGTACAGGATACATCTACATAGGTGTATACATATATTGACCAAGTCACTATCACAGGGTGGTATGGTCACTCTGACAATTCAAAATTAAAAGGGTGATTTCGGAGACACCAAAGGAACAAAGAAATGTGTTCCCAAAAATAACATGAACAGATTGCCAGCCTCGTTAAGCCAATGAAAAAGCGGTGGATCCTGATTGGAGCCAACAGCGCGACCGCTAAAACTTATTTCCTTGATTACTTACAATGAAATTGGCGACAATTTCTTAAAAAAATATCTCTAAAAATGTTTGCATTGTTTGGTCAAACCATCGTGTATAATCCCACAAATGACCAAGAGAGACGTCATAACTCAAATATTTTGACCTCAACCGACAATGTAGGCTGTGGTGCAGATACCCTTGATCGGCTGTCAAGGAAGATGCGTGTTTCATTCGACCAACTCATACAAAAGATAATAACATAGTTACATGTAGATATCAACATACCATGTCTTTCGTGTGGAATGCAAAACGTTTTGCTCGCATTGTGTGGCCCTCTAATGGCCGATTTACAAATAAATTGATATAGGCAATTACCATCGGATTACATTTATTAATTAATATCAATTGATTTAACTTGTTTCATAAATTGTTGTCCAAAAATTTATAAATATATTGACAATTTTGATTTGTTCATATGTAACTATTTAGATTTGACACATGTCACTTAAATGAACGTAAATATGCTATTTACAATAACGTTAGGTCAAGCATTGTTTCAAAAAACATCGTTCCAGTAATTACGTTAATTGCTACGGTGTCCTTTATTTATCAATCGGATATAATTGTATCTGCCTTTGTTCCTCGTTGATCTATTATTGAACCTGCTACATAATTCTATTTATTACTTTTTGCAATGAATACCTTCTTATAACAGTTTGGTATTTTGTTCGTTTTTATTTATAAATTAATGATTTGATAACTCATGTGTTGTTGGCCTAGTAGCCCTGACCTTTGGGTTACCAATATGTGTAACACATATATAACGCCTTGATCAACATGTATGTGTGCTGCGGTAAGAGGATATATAATTTTATGTAAAAATATTAATAATTATCATTCGAGGTTCTTATATACCGCTTGTTTCGTAGGTCGTCTCAAAGCGGTTCACAAAGTATTATCCGTGGTTATAGTCTTTGCCACCAGCCAATATATTTTTCAAATCCCTGGGTAGCATACAGCCGGCGCTGTCATTTCGGCGCTCACAGCTAGCATTCAATAAATTTAGCACTGCACAACCGCATTCTCATTTACAGCGGAGTAGACTGGAACAAGCGGAGAAAAGTATCTTGTTCAAAGATACAAGACAGTGTCGTGACGTAACTCGAACACGCAACCTTTAGGTCACGAGCCCGGCGTGCTACCACTATACGTCCGTGCCTCCACGGTATAAATTAATAATAAGACAGATAAAACGTGTGATACAGGTTATATAATTGTACATGTATCATAAAGCAAACATATGAGATACGTTTAGTTGGATTTACATGGCGGGTGTCATCGATGAAGCAGAAGACGTATATCCTTCCGGAACACCTGGTCTTATTCTACTCGTGCTTTATCAAGGGTCTATATGTAAACTTTCCTTTGGTTATTTTTTTGCCCTAGTTTTAGATTTTGCGTTCGAATTATGGTTTTGTTGAGTATTCGCTATTCTCTTGCTTTTTTTAACTATTTTTCAAGAACTTAAGTCAAAAAGACATTTGCCAAGAATTCAGTAAAAAATTCAAAAAGAGTTTTGTTAAGAATGTACAATATAATTTCAAAACTCCTAATTTCATAAATGTAACACAAATGCTCATATTCTTAAATAGAGCATTGATCAGTTGCATTATATTATGTAGAATTGTGTGTAATGTTACATTATATAAGATTGTTTGGAACATAAAATTATGTACAGTGTAAGATTGTTTGGAATGCTACATTATGGGTGATTGTGTGGTAGAATTATGAAAGATTATGCGTAATGTTTCAATGTAAGGTTGTGTGGAATGCTACATTATGGGTGATTGTGTGGTAGAATTATGAAAGATTATGCGTAATGTTTCAATGTAAGATTGTATGGAATGTTAAATACAGCAAACACAACACATTATATGAACAAAAATTGTCAGAAACATTCTTAAAGTGTGTCTCGTGTAGTCATTAATTTGATATTTCACCTTTGAATTGATGAAAACACAATTATTGCTTTTGACGTAAAAAAAAAAATTATACCTTTAACCTTTTGCCTTTCTTTCACAGATTGTTCCTCGAGGGCTGACTGTGATGTTTTGCCATTGACTGAATGTAAAGTAACGGGTCATGAGGGTCCTGGGGGTCATGGGGGTCCTGATGGTCCTGGACACCACCATACACCTCATGGCCATGATGATGGTGTGATTTGGCATTGTTTGGACACTAAATGTTCATGTTTCTAGGGTTACTTTTAATGTGTTTTTGATAAAATAAAACCAAATACTGGAACATAAACATGATGTGTTCATATATATTACAAACATTCTGTAGTATCTACATCTGTTCACATGAAAGCAACTGATTTCTATTTTCATAACAAATAGATACTGCATTATAGAGAGTCAAATAATCAAGCATGTTGATGTATAACGTCATGATTCCGGAAGCCTTGCGGTATGTGAGATTCAAGGCATATAGTACTTACAACACATTGTAATTGATAAGATACCGGGTATACAATTCTAAAAATACACAGTGAATTATAAGATAACGGGTATAAAGTTCTTACAATACAAAGTGACTTATACGATATCGGATATAAAGTTCTTACAATACAAAGTGACTTATACGATATCGGGTATAAAGTTCTTACAATACAAAGTGACTTATACGAGATCGGGTATACAGTTCTTACAATACAAAGTGACTTATACGATATCGGGTATTCAGTTCTTACAATACAAAGTGACTTATACGATATCGGGTATACAGTTCTTACAATACAAAGTGAGTTATACGATATCGGGTATTCAGTTCTTACAATACAAAGTGACTTATACGATATCGGGTATAAAGTTCTTACAATACAAGGTGACTTATACGATATCGGGTATACAGTTCTTACAATACAAAGTGACTTATACGATATCGGGTATACAGTTCTTAGAATACAAAGTGACTTATACGATATCGGGTATACAGTTCTTACAATACAAAGTGACTTATAAGATACCGGGTATACAGTTCTTAAAATACAAAGTGACTTGTAAAATAACGAGCTTAACGTATATATAATACAAAGTGTCTTATACGATTTTATAAGTCACTTTGTATTATAATAACTGTAAGCTCGATATTTTATACGTCATTTCGTATTATAATACAAAGTGACCTATACATTATCGAGCTAATAATAATTATAATACAAAATGAATTATAAGAAATCGGGCTTACAGTTCTTATAATACAAAGTGACGTATACGATACCCGGCTTACATTAATTTTAATACAAGGTGACTTATAAAATACCGGATTTACAGTTCTTACAATACATAGTGACTTTTACGATACCCGGCTTACATTAATTTTAATACAAGGTGACTTGTAAAATGCCGAGATTACAGTAATCATAATACAAAGCGACATATAAAATACTGCGCTTACAGTAAATATAATACAAAGTGACTTATACAATACCGGGGTTACATTTCTTGCAATACAAAGTGACTTATACGATACCGGGCTCACATTTCTTGCAATACAATGTGACTTATACGATACCGGGCTCACATTAAGTATTAAGCATTTCGAATTAAATAGAAATGCGACACCTTTGCGGGAGAGAATGCGTGCAGAGGAGTAGTGTTTTCCCGTTCCTGCCATGCCAAACAGACGTACGTAATCCTATCAATTTGCATACATGTGCATAAATATGTACCGAAGGTTAACAAAATTGTGATGGCGCTAACTAAAATCAATGGAGGCAATTTAGTGAAAATTGGAAGGAAAATGTATTAGGAGATCATACACTTGACATAGGACTATTACAAATAAAATCTGTATCAGTCAGTTGGTCAAGTGTTACCAGGTGCGCCACGTGTATGTCCACGTCACATTAGTACTACTATATTAGGGAGATAGTATCAATAGAACCTATTCGTTTCTTTAAATTTATATGGTTAAACTGCTATTAACTTGAACGGCCGGGGTGTTTGAGATAGTTAAGAAGAAGAAAAAGATCCCAGGGGGATTTTGGCGCCACCATGGAATGATCTTTATTGATTATACATGTATGTTAGTTTGACAATAAGGGGAATCTACATATGAAATCTACGAAGGATCTAAAAAGAACTTTTTGCGAAGAAGAAATAGCATAAATAACAAACTTCAACTGTCAAAATCCAAGATGGCTGCCTGTCAGCAATTTTGTATTCCTGATCAAACTCAAAATCTAATGGTCACAACCAGGGACCAATGGGAACCTATATATGGAGTTTGACAAATACAAATATCCGTCTAGTGCTTTTCAAGAAATTAGCGATAACTAAATTCAACTCTCAAAATATAACATTGCTGCCTGTCGGCCTTTTTTTATTTTATTTTGTTGTTGTTTGTTTTAAGATCAGTCTCAAAATTAAATGGTCACAACAAGGGACCAAGGGGAACCTACATATGAAGTTTGAGAAAAATTATTTCAGTACTTCCAAAGCAATAGCGATAACAAGGATTGTTTACGAACGGATGGACGATGGACCACGGTCGACGAACCACGCACGAAGAACGATTTGACCTGATGATGGTGGGCTAAAATACAGGCAAAAATGTATATTAAAAACAAAATAAGGTGTGATGTTCCAAACTGAATATGGTAAAAACGTTAAAATCAACTCATCTTCATCTGGGGACAAACGTGAACACAACTAGTTGAATTGAATACTGTACATACATTGTACAAAAAAGGTTCTTAAACCTAAAGTCATAAGTTAGCAGTTGAAAGTCAAAAGTACAGGTATAAATGTTCAAGCACAATTTGGTGCACAATAAATAACTTTTCGGGTAGCAAATGTTATAATATATCATTGACAGGTTATTTTGACCAAATTGACCACTGACATGGTTACTTATACACTGGTACATGCGACCTGTTGTAAATGGTGTGTTTAGGGTAGAGTACTGTCTAATTGCCGTTTTATAATGCAACCTCCGTTAAAGACGACCAGTTAAATGAACAACCATCCACTGTTTATAAAATACCTTGTGCTTCCCTTGTTATCTAGTGAATCCCCATTTGTGATGTGTTGGGGATTATGTTGTTAACATGTTGAATCGGAATTTGTATGATAAAGTTAGCACAGTGGCACAGTGCCGCTCTGGTTTGGGTGAACCAAGCTAGAGAGAGAAAAAAAACAGTACCCAACTGTTCTGTCTCAACCTTAGCTTCTCAACAAATATGATGTTCATTGTCATATATAATTTCAAAATAGTTTATTGTTAACGCAACAAAGATAATTAAAATTAATATAACACGGAAGAGATATAACAGTAGATGTATTATCAATCTCATACTATACTTATAAATGCAAGAAATTGGAGTACTGAGAAAAAGTACCTAGACGATGTCTTCGAAAGCCACGGTGCTGAACTGTTGAATTCAAACCTGGCTAAATTTTACACGGAGGCTCGCGTACAAAAAACAGAACCTTGAGTTTTGTTTTGTATTATATTTTATTGTTGAAGCATATAATAAAACAGTTATGGGTTTTTGTGCTGTTAAATAAGATGTGATATGAACCTGAACAAGTGATATTGACCTTGGCTTCGCCTCGGTCAATATCACTCTTTCAGGTTCATATCACATCATATTCACCAGCACAAAAGTCCATAATTGTATATTATTCACCACTTATTTGATACAGGGTGGGTATGGTAAACATTCTTAGCTGTGTACTTAAAAAATGAAAAAAGATATATTTCAGGACAATGATGACACCATATAGGGACAATGGCCATCTGTCACCCAAGCAGCGCAACTATGGATAGGGCCTTTGGTTTTCTCAAAATAAAATGGTGACGTCTCCATCATCTTGAAATGATAAATGAAGATAGCATGTGTAGGGTAATTTGTGCAAGCTGTGTCTTGCACAATTTCAGTTTATATCAGAGGACGGTCCAGATATGCTTCCAGAACCTGAGGTTGAGGAAGACGGAGATGATGAAACCCAGGCCGACAACATGAACAGCACTGGTGTTCATAAGAGTGATCATGAAGCTGATTTGCTGTTGTAAAAAACAAAAATTAAACACATTCTAGAGAAAGCATACATTTCATTGATCAAAGTTACTGTTCATTTCCTGGTACCATTCTTGAGAATATGTTTAAGAATTTGTTCATAATCTCCATTTTCTCCTCATGCTGCTTCTTCTTTTCCTCTCTCATTCCGGTCACACATGTTTTCTCTCTTTCTCTTCACTCCCTTACTTACATTAGTCTTCTCACTCAAACTGTTGCTATTTTCACACACACTATTCTCACCGACACATTCATCATTCATAGAGCTGTAGGTGGCCATGGGAGTAATATTGGGATTACCCCCAATGGCCTCCTCCTTTTCCCTTTCATACAAAAACTCTCTTCTTCCACTTCCACTCTTACCATTCACACCCTTAACATCCTTTAACTTTCTCTCAATCTTTACCCACTTTCCTGTAAGTTGACTCCAGTAAATGCTGGATTTGCATTTTTTGAAAATTTCTTTGCAATAATTTGCCACACCCTTTTTTGTTAAGTTTGCACTGTCAAACATGGCTTGGTGGTCCTGCCTTAAACTTATCAACAGACTTGTTGTTTCAACTGTCCAGTTGAATTTTTCTGGAAAAAAAAGATGTTCAATTCAAAGACATGTCATACATTACAGTTATATGCTATAGCTTTGAGGTGAACCGTAGGTTTTTAGATATATATTTTTTTATCACAAAGTAATATTTGAATTTGTTCTTAATGTAAAGATGTGGTATCTCAGCTTTAAGAAACAAATGTTATTAAAAACAAAAAATCGCTTAAAAAGCCCAAGAATATCATTTACATGTCAGAGGCATTAGTAAGAGAAAATAAGACAAATTATCTCCCTTTGATAAATTTGATATTGATTTTTTTTAAATGTGTAGATTCAACTTTTGTTCAATTTGCAAATAAAAGCAAAGGTTTTTAACAATACAATAATGACATATATATGTGAGCTTGCATAAATTATACCAATGTAAATATGTCTGACAGTGATCAATGTCCATGAGCCAAGAACGCAGTAACGTAACTATAACTGTAATACGACTGGGCCTGGAGTTAATGTCTGTGTTGGCTGTTGTAGACACCATTGCAACAAAACTGATACATTTTTAAAATTTTGACAGAGCTTTATATAACAATTTTATTAATTTAACTAAATAAATTTAAGGTAGAGGGTACCATTGCACCAGTTATAATTTGAAAGAAGAGTTCCATTTTAGAGTTGTATTTT